GCATGACTATGTTGTATACCTGCTTAGTGGTTATGAAGGGCTGTTGGAGGGTTCTGAGGGGGTTGATGCAGGGAACGGTTTTGCTGCATATTGTGACATTTTGCAGAGCTGTTTGGGGGCAGGGGTGTTTGGCGGATCTGTTGGGTTACAGAATTCAATGCACAGGACCACATAATAACAGATGGGAGAAAAAAGAAGACAAAGACACACCGAGTCCATGAAACCGACGCTGCAGTTACAGAACAGCAATACTTCCGTATACTCTGCCTGTCCCAAACATCGGAAAAACTCGGGCAAAATAAAGTCCACCCTATACATGGAGGATAGAGAGGAGTAGGAAGATGAAGAAGATGATGATGAAGAAGAATAGGAGCAAGCAGAAGCAGCAGAAGCAGCAGAAGCAGCAGCAGCAGCAGCAGCAGCAGAAGAAGAAGACGAAAAAGAAAAAGAAGAAGAAGAAGAAGAAGAAGAAAAAGAAAAAGAAGAAGAAGAAAAAGAAAAAGAAGAAAAAGAAGAGAATGTTTCTCTCCCTCTCTCACCCACTCTATCCCTCACCCTTTCTCTATCTCATCCTCTCTCGCTCTCTATCTCTCTCTCTATCTCTCAACTTTCATTTGGGACTGCTACTCATGTCAGTGGATGATGATGCCGACACTTCTTCTTTCGCGGAAGAGGAAGTGCTGCTGCTACTTGAGTCGTTGTTCTCTTGCACACGATTCCTCTTCTTCTGTGGAGGCCGTTTCGGCATTTGTGAGGCTGCAACGGCTTTCTTTTGGAGTTTTTGTGCCTTCTTCTTTCCCTGCCAAACAACAGCATGCTTCTCTCGCAAGGTCCCCGGCGGCGTGGCAGTCTTGCATCCCTTGCCTCTTCCACCTGTTGTCCTCGGTGCAGCTCCTTAGCCTTGTCCCTCCTTTCTTTCTGCCCGCCAAACTCTCCACTTCGCACACCTTGCTGTCGTCAATTTTGGCCGTGGCACTGTTGCACGTTGTGCAGCTGTGTGTTGTGGAGGGTTACGTCCTCCATCCTCAGCAGATGGGGTCCTCGTGTAAACCATGCCCTGTGAGCCCGCGCTGGCCACCGGTGGAATGCCCGCGCTCAACTGTAAAGCGGGTGGGGTTGGGCCAGTAAGTCTGGTCCAATCGGGAGTGTGCTCCTCAGAATCAGTCCGCGAAGGGGACATCGCGGCCAGTTGCCTGCTAAAGTCTTGGTCGGAGCGTTGTGCCGCAATGGGCACCATGAGGCGCAATAAGGAGGCAAATCTCTCCCCCAGCTGCAGCCCAGGGTCTGGAGTGGAAAACATATTGCTTCCCGTAGCCTCAGTGGCCTCTGCTGCTCTAGGAGTCGCATCGTCCATGTCCCCACCAATGTCTCCATCATCATGTACAGCAGTGGCAAGTATCGCATCATCCCCACTCACAGGAACAACCGCATCAGGCTCCACCGCAGCACTGTCCCCGGGAACATCGGTCGATCCCACATGTGTTGTCCTGCAGCCTGTGGGTGTCTCCTCGAGCACAGCTCGGCCATGGCGGGGGAGCAGAGCAGTGGTGCCTTGCAGTGAAGCCACACCGCCCAACACGGTGCTCCATCGTCGCATATGAACACCTCATTGGGCAATGATGCAAAAGCGGCCGCTGAATGCCCGCCGCATGTATGTATTTCGGGCAGCTTGTCGACTCCTTGTTTGTGAGCTGTACTTGAAGGTCTTCTGCTAGACGCCGAGGGCGGTAGGAAAGATCAAGGAGCCATGCTCCGTCGTCAAACCTCTCCTCTTTGTTCCAGTGGATTAAGACGAGCATTTGCACGTTCTGCAGGGTCAACATATATGCCTCCTCTTGGTGTGAATGAGGTTGAAGGTGGACCAATTCCTATCGCATGGAGAGGCGGTGGTCCACATAGTCAGCACTTTGACTGCTATCTTCTTCAGTGATTCTTGATTCTTCCCATATGTCAACCACCATTGCGCCACAGAGAAGTGAGTGCCTGTCAAAGCCTCCTTTGAGTTGGGCCCGGTCCACTACAGGTACCTGTGATGGAATTCTTCAGAGAGTTCCAGCACTCTTTGTGCTCAGTTGAATGCTTTGGGTAAACCGAAGCGAAGTAGGCCAAAGTGTTCTGGGTCTCCTCGGACTCCAAGGCGTTGAACAGTCGAGGCGATCTATGGAACTGGTGCAGCAGACATCCTGCTGGATGCTCTCGGATACACAACATCCGCACACGGTCTTTCGCCTTTCTCATTACACTCTCTTGTCTCGCAATCCATGGGCACAGCAGCCATTCTCTTCTCCAACTTCATCCCCCAAAGACCACACCTGCATCCCTATCCTCCCACCCCTGTCCATGTCCTTCAAGGCATAAACGGGCACAAGCAAGGTGCATGCCCGCTCCACAGTCAACCTCCAAGCAGGGTCTCGTATGAACTCCTTGCATGTCCACGGCCATCTCGCTGCGGTGTTCCGTGGAGAGTCTGGAGACTGATCCCACCGTGCATTCCAAACGGTCAACAGCAGTACCGCGTCCACCTCCCGAAGTCTCTGCAGCATTAGTAAGTTCGTGCCAAATCTGGTTTCCCCTGGTTGGATCAACTCCAGCGGTCTGCCATCAACGATGCTTAACTGTCCTGTACTCCCTCCCAGCCCTTCCGAGGATCGCCAAAGCCCTCTGATGTGATGTCTCTTGATGAATGTAGTAATCTCCATGCCCTGTAGAATGATCTCCCCAATCCATGGCACTGAAGCTATGATCGCCAGCAAGTTGCACACATGGCATGCGCAGGGCACCCATGGAATGCTCCTGGTTGTTAGGTCTTAGTGCTCAGAGTATTTTCCTTGCAGAAATGTTGACCTGCGCTGATTCAATGCATATGGCATTCACCCTATGCACCCTCGACTCCTTGATTACCTCTCCCACATCCTCGCCAAAGCTCGAGCCCACTTGTCCTCATGTCCACGGCCGGTAGAGTGACATCCCACCCATCGTGGATCTTCTCCAAATCAGCATCCATGGCATTGTACTGCGTGGGCAGAACCTTGGTCCTCAAGTAATTATAGCCTTGCATGATCCTCTCCATGTTCTTGTTTGAGTCCGATCTCGGGGCGTTGAAGGCAATGGCGTTCTCAAAGAAGGAAGAGGCGACCCCCTGGTGGAACTCTTTCTGCAGCTCATCCACGACAAAACTGTTGATGGATGACTGCTGCCATGGAGGACCATTCGAGAGGGGTTGTAGTGGGCGAGCGGATTCAAGAACAGGAGCATGCAAGTGCTCAGCAATCTTCGACGGTAGCTCAGTCCTTGTCATGCTCGCCGTCTCCCCTCGCTGATGATGTAGAGGGCTAGTTCCAAGGTAGGTCCATTCATTGCCATTTCCATCTCCCACCATTGAACCTGTGTCACGCTTGCCGTCCCCCCCCGTGGATGATGTAGCAGGCTGCCCTAGTGCACCTGATCGACCAACTGCATCAAGATCCGTTGGATCCTCAGCAGCCGGTCGACGACCCAACTCCTTGTAGTACTCACTGAATTTCCTAATCATCATGGGGGCGATTTCTGCTCTTGGAAGATTCCTCCGGATTAAATCAAGAATCTCCTCGGTGGTACGCGGGAAGGGGGGGTTGTGGTGGGCAAGCGGAAGCAAGAACAGTAGCTTGCAAGTGCTCAGCAATCGTCGACAGTAGCTCAGTCCTTGTGGAAGGAGGAGCTGCTCTATTCTCAAGGTAGGTCCATTCATTGCCATTGCCGTCTCCCACCATTGAACTTGTGTCATGCTCACTGACTCCCCCCGCCGATGATGTAGCAGGCTGCCCTGGTGCACCCGATCGATCAACTGCATCAAGATCCGTTGGATCCTCCGCATCCGGTGGGGAACCCAACTCCTAGTACTCGCTCGATTTCTTAATCATCTTGGGGGCGATTTCTGCCTTTGGATGGCTCCTCCGGACTAAATCAAGAATCTCCCCTGTGGTATGCGGGCAGCGGGCACTATCTGACGGTTGGGCGAAGTGCTTCACCACTCTGGAAAGTGTTCCGATGAACCTTTTGTTTCACAACCTGCACCAGAATCTACACGAGACGTGTGATGTGCCGCTGAGCACCATCTGCCCTCGATCCGCCCATCTCCAAAAGTTCCAGATGCGATGGGTTCCTGAATGAGGATTTCTGAAAACCATCGTATCTGATCGGGATGTACGATTCACGGGCCAGCAATGGCAAAAGTTGCTGAAAGTCTATAGCACCAGGTTGACTGTGTCGTCAGGTAGACACGGTGAAACAAGTGGCCAAACTGAGAATGAATCATTTATGCTTGAGAATGAATCATTTATGCCAACAATTTTTGTGCATGTATGTTCGACCCGACCAGATTGGTTGGGATGAGAATCTACCTAGGATTGTGAGTGCACATAACAACAGTGTACACATTGCACTGCATAAAGGTTGGAAGCCAAGACGCCCTATCGACACTCTCACCAGGGAACAAGTCCAATTGCTACCCCCAGGTACGAGAGAATTAGGAATTTTATATGAACACAAGTGTACCTGTTGCTGCTTCGCTCGCAAAAAAAATGGAGGGCAAAAAGCAAAAACGTCAGAGGGGGGATTTGTGGGGTGGCGGGGGCGGTGG